GAGATTTTCAGTTCAAACACAAAGGAGCAAGACAAACATTTATGCTGCAACTGGATAGTACACTGAGATTCAAACTTGGCGAAGTAATCCTGATAACGGGGAAAAGTGGAGCAGGTAGTGTTTGTATAGGAGATAAGAAATGAAGTATGAGCAAATTATTTCTGTTTAGGAAAGTCAACATTCTATGATGTTTTAAACGGTTCAATACCGATGAGTACTTACGAATGTTCTGTACATGTTGATGGAAATAAAATGGTATCAAAATTCCACAGTGTCGAATACTGTCGTACAACGGTTTCGCAAGATATAGATATGGACTATAGATCAACTATCTATAGCATGATAACGGACGTTGACGATGATGACGTTCCATTGAAACAGACAAATCAGTTAGACAATCTCGTTTGGGAGTATCTTCAATTAGTAAAAATTGATGATTTCGTCCGTGTGGAACTGAATGGTGATCTTGGTCAACCTATGGAAAATAAACTGAGTGGTGGACAGAAAACTCGATTGTTATTAGCAAGAGCGCTGTTTCGAGCTCATCATCGGCAGAGTTCATTGTTGATTCTGGATGAACCGGATAAAGGATTGCCCGCTGAGACAACCGTGGGTATCATCGAAAACATTATAAAATGGTATAAGTCACGAGGTATTCTTCTATTAACATTGCACACTGAACAAGCACATAATCTCAATTTTGATCAAATACTACACATAGAGAATGGACAAATTAGAAAAATGAGATGATGATAACTGAGACATCGGATAGAACAAACATGAGTCCTATATTTAGTCATCAAAGTATAACGTTCAGTACAATTTTGAAAATGATTTTACGTTATGCGCTGATGTACTATTTTTATATACAAGTCACTTCATATTTGTGTTTTTTATATGTTAGGTAGCAGAACTAGAAGAGAAGTCTGTGTTGCATAGAATGTTTATGGACGCATGCGACAGTGACGTGAGCTCTTCATCATGCGAAAGAGGATATTCGGCGGGATCTTCCTAAATCATTCAAAGATCTAGATAATCTCTGTTTTTTCCAACCAGTTGTACAAGCGTTTACGTTGGATGACAGAGAGCACATGCCTCTATGGCTTGTCGTTCAAGCGTTACTCGAACGTTTTTGTGACTATGTTGACATGGAAAGTTGTTTTAGCAAGATGTTGTTTTCTTCTGATGTTTCTGCATTAATAGTATGTAGTTTCGATTAACCGATATAAACGAAACCATCATAATCGATAAGCTATACACTGACACATCGCATGGATATTGTTTTTTATCCGTTCTATGTAACAATCGTTTTGCCCTTACAACAGTCGTTTTGCTCCGCTCATCCACTCATGTGGGCATATGGTCCATTGACTGCAGAGGATGGTACTGCACAGTTTATACATGGATGCACCTAAAAATAGCAATTGAAAGGCTAGTAGACTAAACGAGAAGATTTAAGCGCCAGAAATAGAAGAATATAAAATAATTTGTAGGGAAACAGGTCGATCTGGATTCGTTTCGAGTGATTCTGAGAATAACTGTACCGTTCATGATATTCAACATAGTGGTAAGTAGACGCTTGTTGTAATTTTCTTTGTAGAAGGAGTTTTAAGTTGCAGTTATTAAGTTCATGCGAAAAATGCAAAGCAAGAATAATTTAGTTTAAGCTTTATTACAACTAAGAAAGCAAAACTAATCTATCTACCCCGGAGCGGAAATCCATTATATCAGATGTAGGTAGATTAGTACTTTTAGTTAAACCAAGAAAAATGTGAGACAAGAGGGCTTAAAGTATGCCTGATCGATTCACCATGATATTCTATCTATATTGTGTGACTTTTTTGTTATCAAAATTGACTGATTTCTGGCGATATGTATCTCGCAATTACAGAAAAGGTTTGCTTAGCTTTTTTTTCTCTCGGTTGAAATAATATTCACTAATGCAGTGAATAATACAAACTTCGTAACGTTTCTGCCTCTTCTAAAAGTACGATGTACTGTCTTTTTTCCTAAGATTCCTCTGTTGATGAGAGGCAAAATTTTTCGGTCCAAAATTCACTTTCAGAGGAAAGCAAATAGTTAAAAACATTCCAATGGATAGAAATACCTAATTGGTTTTCTTTTCTCTCACAATTGATCACTCCAATGAGAGATTTATGATCAGATGTAACAGGTCAGTCACAACAAGCATTGATAAAACAATTTGTCAGAAATAAGCGTTTAAATAAAGCAACGAAAAGGCAGACATATTCGATGGGTGACGAAACACGTTAATAACGCCGAGAAAAGTTTGCTTAACTTATTGTCTAGAAGCTATGATTGGTTCAACCTTTTATCTTGAAAAAAGCAATTATATTTGAAATTAATCAATAGTATGCTTTCTAGTTTCTCAAAAACGTTCTTTTGTGCGCAGACAGCGTCATTAATCAGCCAAGTGATCAGAAGATGGCGCTTTGATTCAGTGAAGCAACTTATCCTACAGCAGCACCCCACCTGTGTTACCTGTACGATGAGTCTACGCGTCTACAGAGCAAATAAGTTCTGAAACACAAGTAGGCGGTTGCGCAGATATTTTACCCAACAGCTCTGTTTAGTATAAAGAATTCTCTCTCATCTACCCATTAGTAAAACACTATTCTATTTGCCGAAACGTGGCACTTACGTTCAGCTGCACCGTAGGTAACTGTGTGATTCCCAGTGTTTTACACAACAAATGAAGAGTGGGTTCCGTGAGCACAAACGTCTAACTATCTTTCACTGCTTAAAAGCAGCTGTATCTATTCTAATTAAACAACGATCAGCAACGTATGATATCCTAGGTCAGGATTCGAGCAATTCCTGAAAGGATTCGCCCACAGGCTGGTTCCAATTGTGCTTCCGTTGGCTCCAAGCACCACTGGACAAGCGCTTTCCGTTCCAGCTGTCGCTCCAAAAATTTATCATACTATCAGGGAGAAATCCCGCGATTATAGTCAAAAACCGACAGCCAACTTTGGCAATTCTGGGAAACCACGTCGCGATTCGTTTCTTCACTGGCTCCAACTCAATTATTGATGGTTCCCGATAGAACTCTTCATGCTCTATCGATTGCACATCTTACTTTTCACTTTTGACAGAGTCATCAACGAGAAAATCGCTAATTAGTACCTTGATCATATGGCATCAAGAGTAAATATGAGAAAATGCTGTGGCGATTCTACTTTACGGTCTTCGTAAGTAGATTTCTTAAATGAAGACTTATTTTCTCATGTTTTCTCGAACCAATCCTAAATGGGTTTGTTATTTTAACGAAGTTCTTCTACTTTGCATCACAAAGCAGCTAAAATGAAAAATCCAGGGTTATGAGATAATAAATAGCTTCGGATCAGATTGTGCTAAAATTCTTAATAAATGATTTTATGCCTGCTTGTTATATCCATCCTATGAATGAAACGGTCTATCGATAACTAAAAATAGATCAATACAACTACTAACAAAAGAGTGCTGAAATAAATTAACTTACTTCTTTCCAATTGATCCATTTTTTAATTACTGCATTCGCACTTTCAGCTGGGTTTGATGTTGGTCCAGAATTAGAAATTTCATTCCATACACCGTATTTCTTGCTATTATGCACCTAAAAGATTAAATGACATCATTTAATGAAGATGGTTGGCGAAGGCAAGAAGGATAAGTCAACTCAGCTGAAAGAAAAAAGAATGTGGCATGATAACAGCGGTTCTAAAATATGACCCCTAGGATGAGTCAACTTGTCCTCTGTAAATGAGTCGACACATCTGTTAAGAGAAAATGTTTTGATGGTTAGGTCGTCATCAAAAAAGCTTTCGTCGGATGAGTGGACATATCCGTTTAGACTAAGTCGACTCGTCTACAAAGACAATTTTTTCAGTTATAGCTTCCGATCGGAACCTTTTAATACTTTCTAATTAATTTAGAGTAATTTCTGATCGAAAAAACGTTCAAAACTTAATTTACAATAATTTGAGAGGTCGAATTAATTCAAATTCATATGAAATACATCAGTTTACACTAATTTGACTATCAAAGTTAATTTATATTCATTTTAGTTGTTAAATTGTTTATAATTAGCTTGAAAAAAATTAATTTGAACTAGTTTAAATTTAAAGTCGTTTAAATTAATATATTCCGAATGAACTTAAACTAATTTCCTACCTAATTTCAGTTTAGATTGATTTTTTCAATTAAATTACTTCAAACTAGAGTATTGAAACTATTGAAAATTAATTTAATCTTTCACATTGGTGTGAATCAGTTTTATTTATTAAATTCATTTGAATAACTTTTTTTGTAATAAATTTTTTTTTGAACCGATTTCGACAGTCGAAATTAGTTAGAACATATTTCAGAAGTCAAATTAGTTTACATTTATTCGAAATAAATTATTTTAAACGCAAGTCAGCGCCTCAAATTGTTGTGAATAAATTTTAAAGGACAAAAGTAATGTAAATATGTTCAAAGAAAATTATTATGAACAACTAAATTAATTTAAAGTATAAAATTAATCTAAAAACTCTTTCTAAATAAATTGATTTAAGTTATTCAACTACTGAAGGTGCATACTCGATCGACATGAGAGCGATCGGAAGTATTTTCTGGATCAAGACTTTTTGTGAGACCTTCGATCATAGGCTTGCGACACCCCAGAAAAATGTACGGTGTAAATGTAGAGACTTTGGATTTTTTCTTAAACGTTCTCAAAACAAATATTGAACATTTCAGAAATTAGTTGAAACTAATTTACTATCGATCCATAAATACAGTGCAGAGTGGCGTTTTTCGAATAACTTTTTATGGAAAAGTCCTAGCGATCTACGGTTTTTACCATCGTGTAGAGGACGATTTTTGCCCTTAGAA